CCCCCCCCCCTGTGGATCCGTCTATGCACCAAGGTGAGTAAAACCGTTACAGTGAAGCTCCAGCAGTGCTAAAACGCAAATCTCCCTGTTCAAATTCATATCATACACTTTTAACAACAAAATTAGCATAATTTTTGGAAAACAAATGGATAAAAAAAATTAGCAACAACAATTATTCTTCTGTCTTCCATTGCGATACCAGATTACAAATAAATTCCAAATTTTTCGACAAATCCTCGGGCGTTTCGTTTTGCAATTCATACACTATTTTTTCCTGCAAATTTTCACCTGTGCATTAACTTCCAAAAAAATCACTAATTTTTTCATTTTCAACATTTTCAACTTTCATTTTCTAATTTTCATTAACTTTTCAAAACCATTAATTTCCAAAAAATTAATGATCTACCCAAGAAATCCCAGTGTGGGGATATATTATGTCGGTGATGTTTTCGAGAACATTCTCCATGCTGAAATCCAAATTCCTTGGCTGGCATTTCCTGCTTCGAGGGCAATTCCTGTGGTCGTTTGCTTTCTCACAGGCACAACTCACAAATGCCCTACATTTACCGGCTGTCGGCAAGGCGAGCAACATAACCGTGTGATCACAATGGCCAAACTCATCTGACGGAGAGCCTGATTGCTTTGCTTTGAATTTAAATTCAACTTATACAAATTACAATTACCATAATCGTTGCACTAACAAGGTCCGATTGTGGTAATGGTAAGAAATGTATACGACTTAATGCACCGAAACATTTCTTTGCCAATAAAATAATTTTATTAAAATAAATCCCCTGATTTTACTAACTTTTTAATTCTTATTTCCCACATTCCTCTTCGATTCCTCATATTTCAACCGTTGCTAATATATCTTTCTGTTGCAAACCATCTTTCCAATCCAGTTTTCAAAATATGCCTGCTTGATTTATGAAAAAAAAAAAGTTTGGAAAATGGATGAAAAAAACCAAAAGCAGTGTATACTTACATCATATGATTCTCGGGCTTCCTCCAGCAGCACTTCAAATATTTCGCATTCAATATTTGTTCTGATTTTTTTATCACTATAATTTCGAGCAGCCAGCCGATCATACAGCACCGTATTGTTACATCGCAATACAAAAACAAAATCAAACCACCTCTGGGGAAACAGTTCAGCTCCATGGTATTCCACAATGCATCTTCCCTTCAAATCATCCATTCGTCTCTGAAATAAAACACTAGCAGAATGATAGTGGAATTTTTCAAAAATACCAAAAAAAAGCATAACAGTTACTTAATTCATGATATATGAGCTAATCACAGCTTGGCTGAAACACGATTCGTCACATACTGGAGATAATATCCATGACTACCAATTCACAAACGGTAAGATATCTCACCGTGATTTAGGAGGTCCAGTCTTGGTGTTGAGCTAAGACGTATATGACTTAATGGACCGAAACGTCTTAACTCAACTGTTTTTTCCTACTATTTTATGCGCTTTGTGCTGTGCAACAGTGTTACAAAACGCATATTGTCACGCAGTTGTCTGTGTGTGTGTGTATGTCCCACATTTTGTCCCGCACTTTCAACTCGGGAACCACAAAAGCTAGGCGGTTGAAATTTTGGT